CTGTCTCCTTTTTTGGTGTTTTCACGCAAATTCTTCAGCTAGTTGGGGTTTAGTCCACTTCTATATCCTCCCCTTCAAGGCTCAGGGATCCAAGATTATCTTCTGTGTCTGTGTTAATTGGTTTCCCTCTTCTTTGTTGAAGAGGGTCTGTGCAGTCTTTCTGCCTAGTCCGCCATCTTGCCGGAACTCTCCCTCCCTTTTGAGGTAGGAAAAATAAATAGTTTGAATCAGGGAAAATAGACGTGTTTACAATTCTTCCAGTCTTAACTCCTTCCATCCTTGTGTTATCAGCACAATCTTTCTGAGTGCAAATGTGACTTACTTGCTTAAAAGCCTGATGACTTACCCCACTTTGCCCATCCAGACTGCACAGGCTACATAGGCACACATAGGGTTTTATCTGTCCTGCATGGTGTTGGCCTCCACAAGGCTTAAGAAAAATTAAATTAGTAAGAACATTAAATATTGTAAGATTTCTTATAAAATCCAAGATTTCAGTTTCTTTTGGAATATTGTTAGATGGCAACACTGGGCAATAGGAACTGGGTAGGCTGCCCCTTAGACATGCAATGCTCTCCAGAAACCTCAGTGACCACCCAGCCTTTACACTCCCTTACCTTATCTGGGAAGGCATGGTGTGCCCCTTCAACAGGACCTACTTCTCACAATTTAATGGGTGTACAGGATCCTTCACAGTTAGGCACCACCCTACCTTTGACTTCTTGCCACGTTCCCAATGCGTTACTACAGTCTCTGTTAATAAAAAACTCACTGCCATCAAGTCGGATCGGACTTGGGTTTTCGAAGCAGTATCACTACAGAAGTAGGTCACCCAATCTTCCTTCCGAGGAGTAGCTGGTGGGTTTGAACTGCCAGACTTCTGGTTAGCAGGCAAGTGCCTTAGGCACTGCACCACCAGAGCTCCTAAGTGGGTCGTTATTTACTTGTTTGGTTTGCTAATTCTTCTTCTTCTTTTTTTTTTTTTTTTAACAAAGGATCCCATTCTGTAAACCCCTTTGGATCTTCAATTAGCTGCAAGGTGTGTGTAATTGTGGGTGTTTCAAGGGAGTTACATTTTAGATTTTCATGTTATATTCACCCAAGGCTTCTGTGAAGGGAGAGAAGCAGAGGGAAGAAAGAGAACAGATGGGACCCTTTCTGTGCTTAAGGTCACTTCCAAAGCAAATACATTTCATTTGGTTACTTGGTCATATGTCTGCAGACATTCTGCTCTTGAAGCTGATGCTATAGCAGCAAAATGATGGTTTACCTTGGTTAAGATATCTATTGTCAAAACACTGGCCATTCTTTTCCCAAATTACAGGAAAACTGATCGTTACATGTTAGCCTCATTACTTGTACTCCGGCAAATAAATCAATTCAAGCTGTTGAGTAGTTATTTACTTCATTGTTGTTCATATTAAATCCAAGAACTGGCAGAGGAGTGATTTTCAAAATCCAGGGCAGTTGTAGCTTTAGTTTCAAAAGTTTGCTATATATGTTGGGTTTTATCTTACTGGGGCCATCACTGGTCTGGGTTCTGTTCTTTGCTAGTTCAGAAACTTGATTACCCCAGGGGTCAGGCTTTAGGAATTCATGTCACTTTAGCCAAAATCACAAGGACTATTTGTAAACCAGGATATTCATTTATTATGCATTTATTGAATACCTAGAGTGTGTGGCCCTGGGCTAATCTCTGGGGAAGCAAAAAACAAATCATAAATAGGACATGGCCTTTGCCCTTTAGAAATTTATGCTCCTGAAGTGGAATAGATAAACAAGTAAGTTATACATAGTGTGCTAAGTGTAGGGTGACCTTACATCTTGGCTTGTTTGGGATAGTCCTGGTTTATGCCTTTTGTCCCATTGTAACCATTCAGAGTACACATTTTTACTTTCATAACTACTAAGAGCCACAGCAAAGCCTCTCTTAATAGGTGGGGTATAGAAATGGTAGTAGAAAGGAGAGAGAAGTTCACCTGATTGCTAAGAGTAGACATCAGGTAATGAAGGATTCAGGGCAATTAAGGATGGGGAGCTTGGGGGAAGGGGAGTTGTTCCAAGAATGTGCAAATCTCTACAGGCAAAAAGGAGATTTTTCTGGAAGCAGCAATTAGTTGGTTCAAGCTAGGCATTTCTTCAAATTCTTATTTGTGATAAAAATTCCCCAGGGTACTTGGTAAAAATACAGATTTCCAGATCCAGCTAGTCATTTGGATTCATGGGACTAAGAACCTGTGTTAAGTCTTAAGACTTGTCCCCAAAGCATTCTTAGGCATATTATAGGCTTAGAACCAATTCTCTACCAATTGCAACTATGAATACAAATGATGCATGGGAATTAGAGGAGCAGGAAAAACAAGATGAGAGCACCAGTCACAGGTCAGCCAGGCTAGGGTGACCCCCAGATGAAAAAAACTCTCACAAGCAAAACCAGTTGGGAGATTAACAATAGTTCTAGAAAAACAGGGAGTGCCAGAACTATGTCAATCAAAATGGGAATGAAAAGATTAAAGAACTACTAAGGAGGAAGGACTTATATATAACAGTCTATTATATATTTCAAGCAACAGAACACTTAGGTCAAATGCAGAAACCTGGGGGGACCACGTACACCTACTCCTTATTTATCAACTATCGTGTTATCTGACGCTTCCCATTTACAATGATAGTAAAAAGTCTTCTGTTTTGTGCACTAACAACGTAAGCTTGGCAGTGATGAATGCTGAGGTGAGAGATGAGAGTAATGCTGGCTGTGATGGTTAAAGCGTCAGCCTGGCTGGGCCATGATTCTCAGTGGTTTGGCAGTTATCTAATGAAGTAATTTAGCAGTTATGTAATGATGCAGTTGTCCTCCATTTTGTGATCTGATGTGGTCATCCTTCTTTTCCATGAAATGCCAATTTTTGCATGATGTCCTGGTCTTTGGAATCTGTGTTGGTAAGTGGGTTTAATCATAAGATTGACTTGGTGAGCATACACCTAAAGAAAAAATGTAAACAATAGTTGAATAGTTTCATGGTGTAGTTCATCAGGATCTAAAGAATGATTCCTGCTTACTTCACAGCTTTGTAGTCCTCAGAAACTCATGACAGAAGGCTCCTGAAAAGGAGCTGGATGATTTCTCAAGCATCTGGACACCTCAACTGTTTGCAGTTTTTAGGCTTCAAGCGCACCCCTGCACTTGTTATGATAAGACTACCTGCCAAATCTTATCTTGCATTATTTTTGCTTTTGTTTTCCTTATCGAGTGTGTGTGATAGCCATGATTCACCAACAATATGTGTGCCAACCCCTGTCAGGGAGGACAATCGGTCTCTTGTGGTTTCAGCACGATCTTGTTCCCAAATTCTGGAGGTGCTCTCTCTTAAGGAACCTGGAACTACCTCACCGATCCACGGCAACTCTGTGAAATTATATTAGTACAAGATACCAGCAAGGAGGTCTTTAAGCCTAGTGTTTGAGGCAGCCAGAGCTACTTAGAAGAGGGTGAGTTGGTGGTTCTAAGAAAGAAAAGCAATCCCTGAATGGTAAATGAAGACAATCTGAGGAAAGCTGTTATTTCCCTTCAAACGTAAAGAGTGTTTTTATTTTTAAGGCTGCCTTGACAAGGCCTATTGGCTTTCTACTGAAGCGGCAAAACCAAGTCAAAAATCAAATGATGCAAAGACTTAGAAGTTATGACAAGGAAGCTTCAAAAAGGAGAATGGGGAACGGATCAATCATTTCACAGAGTAATTTAGCACCGTTTATTCAAGATCGGGACACTTCAGAGCTTCCACGAGTGCGGTTTGGGCGGGGCAAGGCATCTTAAATTCTGGTCGTTGGCCACCCTCTTAGAGTTTGCTGAGAGATTTCCAAAGCCTGGGAGTGCTAGGGTTGAAGATGCACAGGCGGTAATCTACCCTGTCAGTATTAGCTGTGTGTGTGTTATGTGCCGTCGAGTCGGCCCCGACTATTAGCTAGGGGAAAAAAAACAGTCAACAGTGGCTCCAAAGTTTGTTTTTTTTTTTCATAAGGGGCTGAACTTTTTGTGCGATCCAAGATCAGCAACGCTATTAAGTCACAGTAACAGGATGAAAAAATAAAAAGGAAAAGAGGAAAAGTCCAGCTTGCACAGCCCCAGAAAATGGATTTTCTCTGCCTCTGATGCACACAGTGTTATCGGGGTCGCCTGGGTCCTCGACCGGCTCCGAAAGTCTCAGTCTGGAAGCCCCTTTCCCGCAGTCGAGTCGCAACCAGCGCCGCGCTGCGGCGGGGGGATCTGCCTAGTGCGTCGCAGACTTCAAAGCCCCGGAGCCGCCGGCGCCCCCACCCGCGCGCGCAAGTAGTACGGTCCGAGGGGGCGGCTCCTGGGGCGCGGCTCCCGCGGCAGCTGATGCGCGCCGGGCGGGCTGGGAGGTGCGAGCTGGAGACCCGGAGACCTGCAGTCGCCGAGACGCAGAGGCCGAGCTACCAGACGCCGCGGGCCGCAACCCTGAGGCCCCAGCAGATGCTTCTTCACAGTGTGAGGAGCCCGACCCAGAGACAGCGCGGGGGTCGCTGTGGCTGCACCATTTGAGGAGGACGTAGAGGAAGCGGCGCTGCTTGCCGGCGGAGAGGAAACGCTCCACCCGGGCATCCGACGGCGCTCGTTTAACCACATCCGCGCCTTCGCTGGAAACGCTTAGGGGCGCCTGTCACCGGTTCCCTCCATTTTGAAAGGGAAAAAGGCTCTCCCCCTTCCCCTTCCCTTAGGATCTGGAGCCGGAGGAGCCGCGTTGATGGCGTTCAGCCCTTGGCAGATCCTGTCTCCGGTGCAGTGGGCGAAATGGACGTGGTCTGCGGTGCGCGGCGGGGGCGCCGGAGAGGACGAGGCCAGAGGGCCCGAACGAGACCCCGAGGAGGAGGACTCGCAAGCCGAGACCAAATCCTTGAGTTTCAGGCAAGTACAAAGCATCCCTGCCGAGATGCGAACGCGCTGCCATCCATTCATCCGCCGCTCATTCTGTGTGCGTGTGTGTGGTCGCCCACCCGCGTAACCATATTCATGACAATGCTACCACCCTGTCCATAAACCAGGTCCCCGCTGTGCATTCGAAAGTTCAGAGTGTTCTGCCCGCCCCTGTATTTTCTTTCCCTCATGTCACTATGAGCTTTCTGGCTCTAACCCAGAATCTGCAGTGTCTCCGCATTCTCTTCTACCTTGGTCACTTTCTCTCAGCTTCAGCCCCCAGCCCCTGGCTTTGCATACACACACACACACACACACACACACAGAGGCAGTGCCTCTGATCACACCCAGAGGAACTTAGAGCCTTCCCTGTGGGGAAGAAGTCGCCCCCTGGCCCATCGAGGCCCCACTGTGTCCCAAAAATGCAGCCGAGGTAAAGAAGGTTTCATGATGACAGGCCCTTGGCAGCTGGTGAGAAATGGTGGTCTCTTTTGAGCTGTCACCCATGTGATTGTGGAAGGCAGGTGACAGCATTCCTAGCCTCATGCCAAGTGAGTTCCAAACAGGTAGAGGCCTGCTAAGGAGAAAGGCATCATGGCTAGAATTGACTTATTTGTGGTGATGGGAACTTAAGAATTTTTTAATCTATAGGAAAAGGCTCTTTTTAGAAAAGGAGTCTGTTGGAAAACTCTTTTGGGTGTCAGAGGGAAGGATGACCTCAAAAATAAATGGTGCTAGAAAAAAGCTCCAGAGGATTGAAGAGATTTCAGGGAGACAGAATGCCTGACTGAGAAATCCAAGGAGGGGTGCTGTTAGGGAGCCACAGCCAGCAGCCTCGGGCAGGCCTATCCATGCTGAGGAACATTTGGATGTAAAGTTAGACAGAAATGCTGGACATTAGCCATCGTGGATATCTAGATTATAAAGAGTGGCAGACATACCGTTGAAAGTGGTAATTCCTCATTTTCCCCTTTGGCAGTTCGGATTCTGAAGGTAATTTTGAGACCCCTGAAGCTGAAACGCCGATCAGATCGCCTCTCAAGGGACTCTGTGATTCATCACTAGGATTGACAGGGCCTGGGACCAAAGCCCAAGGTAAAAACACGTTCATTTTCTGCCTCTTTGGTTTAAAAGTTTTGAAAATGTACATGAGACAAGGAAAAAAAAAAGTGTTAATTTAGGGTCATTTGAAAGGATTTGAATTGTTTGGCTCTTTACTTAGAAAGAGCTGTTTTGAAGCTCTTGGCTTATTTGAGTTTTTTGTTTTTAAAAGTAGTGTGGTAGTCACAGGATTTCTCCCCTGAATAGGGTTTGTGCATTTGTAGTATGAGGTTATCTTAATCAGACCTTCCTACTGGGCCCTTCATCTCTGCTCCTAAAAACCAAAACTGTTGTGTAGTGATGCTGGGCTTGGAGTATGTTTAAATATGGTTTCACAAATGCCTTGGGCTAAGTCACTCTCCTTAGGGATATGGCTGGCAATAAACATTTAAGGTAAGTTGACTGTTACAGTAAGACAGATTCTGAAGAAGCTGTCTCAAAATGGCTTACCTCTCCCTCTCACACAGGGCAAAGGTGAGCCCCCTCCATCTACCTGAGAAAACCAGGCACAGATATTCTCTCCCAGCTCCTCAGGGCCCAGGCGTGAGCTTGTCCTTATCTATAGAAGCTTCTGATGTTTCACTTAACTAGTAGAAACCTTTTTTGTCACACAACCAATTTTAAGTAAAATGTCACCTGTCTTAATAATCATTCATTCATTAATAGAGTACAGGGATTTAGCAGTGAACAGAAGTTTGCTCTCACTGAGCTAATGTTGTGAAGGAAGATGGATCTTTCAAGGGTTAAGCAAATTATGTCTGTCAATTTGTACAAAGTGGTACTGTGGAGAGAAAAAGGGCCTCTGGTGGTGCAGTGGTTAAAACATTCAGCTGCTAAGCAAAGGTTAGTGGTTCAGACCCACCAGAGAAAGATGAGGCAGTCTGCTTCCATAAAAATTTAGTCTTGGAAACCCAGTGAAGCAATTCTGTATCCTAAAAAGGATCACAATGAGTTGGAATTCACTTGATGGCAGTGGGTTTAGATTTTTTTTTTTGTTTTTAATGGAAAAAAATAAAGCAGGAGAAGGGGAGTTAAGTATGAGCTGGGCATTGGGAATGTTGAAGAGTAACTAGAAGACGCCTTACTGATAATGTGACTTAAGCAGAGATCTGAAGGAGAACTGAGGAAGCAAGCCTTGTAGATTCCTAGGGAAAGAACTTTTCCATCAGAGAGAATGGCATCTGCAAATGTCTGAGGCAGGCCCAGCCTGTGGTGGAGTAAGTTTGTCATGGGAAGATACCTGGCATATTTGCAGACCAGCAAGGAGGCCAGTGTGGCTGGAGTGAAGTGGCAGAGGGAGCAGCAGGAGCTGAAGTCAAAGAGATAAGGGCAGGTCCAGATCATACCGTAATGATGATTTCATTTTCTTTCTGAATAGATGGTCAGTAGAGGGTCCATGCTTTGACTTTATTTCTAAAAGCTTATCGGCTGTTGGCTTGAGAAGGGACTCTAAGTTGATGTCCTTTCTAAGTGGTTTCTCTATTCCAGTGACCCTCACTGTCACCCCAAAGTGGCAGATACAGAAAGCTTTCATTGATCAAGTTACCTAATTTTTTAACTATGACTTTCTTTCTGCACAGTTACAGTATTTCATTACTTAACTTCTTCACAAGTTGTGTAGGGAAATGGAGTCACTCTGGTGCAAGACTTCATGAATGAGGTAGAATTATTGGCAAAGATGGCAGCTTTTTGTGGTTTGGTTTTGCTTTAAATTGAGAGTGCCATGTTGTGCTTCCTCTGCTGAGAATTCAGCAGCACCCTCAATTTGCTCTGGACTGCTCTCTTGAGATTGTTTTAGGCAGTACTAAGTTGCTGTGAGTCAAAATTTGACTCAGTGGCATTGGGTTTGGTTTGGGTTTGGTGTGGGAACAGACAAGTTTATATACGTATAGGAGAACTTGTGTTTGGTATCCACTGCTGTGTACACTGTGAGTGACAAAGGTGCTACTTACTCTTCATAGCTTCCCTTTTCCTCTCTCAAGCTTTGGAGGTCAAAAGGGAAATTTAAAAGCTTGAAAGAACTGTTTTGTATTCTTCTCACTGAATTTAAATAAAGTTCTTAAGACACATGTTAAGTAGCTGTTTGAAAGTGTTTGAATTGCCCTCAGCTTGAGCAGCTCCTTCTTCACCATTCCGTCAGCTGGTAGACTGATTCACACTGCCAGATTCTTTGCTAACTGAAAAGAGCCTGTATGACTGAGGCCTCCAAAGTCATAGAGACCTAATTGTTTGGTCCTTTTTGTACCACTTACTCATCATTTTAACTTCTGGTAATGTCTAACTTATACCCTCCTTTTCACTGTCTTCAAACATTTTCCTGAGAGTCATGAAATCAGTAAACTCTGTGGCGTGAAGTCTACATGATTGAAGACTTTATGCATTTGGGATAAAGAAGGGAGTATCGGGTGGTCTGGTGGTGTAGTGCCTAAGGCATGTTACTGCTAACCAAAAGGCTGGAGGTTCAAACCCACCAACCACTCCTCGGAAGGAAGATTGGGCAATCTACTTCCGTAGAGGTACCGCCTCGGAAACATGAGTGGTCTCTATGAGTTGGAATCAACACAACAGCAGTGAGATTGGTTTTTGGTATGGGGTAGTAGTATAGTGTGCAAGCTAGGAAACAGTTTAGGGTCTTTGAAAAATAGGATGATTTCTCACCAGCCTGGTAGTGTCCTGCTATCAGGTTTCCTTGGCCAACGTCTAGAGTTGGTCCAGAGTCCTATTGATCACCTTGACATAAATACAGGATAAATGTAAAAATATAACCAAGTCACAGGTCTGATTAGGAAGATTTCAATGGGCAAACGTTCCTTAAGAGTTACTTCTGTTGAAGTTTAATTTCTGGGCCTGATTGGTTCTCTTCCTCTCAAACTGTTGATTTTTGTCACTCCTGATAAAGTTGTTGTTAGTTGCCACTGAGGTGGTTCCAACTCATGACAGACAACCTTATGTATAACAGAATGAAAAATTGCCCAATCCTGCACCTGGTAATATTAGTCTTTCATATTTCTGTGGTTCCTGGGACACAGTTGGATAACAAATGTAGATTATATAAAATTATACCTTCTGGAGGAAAGATGTATGAGTTTTAGTCCTGTCAGGAGTTAGAGCTAACATATGTAAAAGGTCTTGGCTCTGGCATATAACCAGTAAAACCCAATTGCCATCTAGTCAGTTCCAACTCATGGTGACCTCATGTGTGTTAGAGTAGAACTGTGCTCCATCTGGCTGATTTTTTAAAAGTAGATCTTCAGGCCTTTCTTCCAAGGCACCTCTGGGTGGGCTTGAACTTCCAACCTCTTGGTCATCAGCCAAGTGTGCTAACTATCTGCACTACCTACAGTCTTTTGGCATATAATGGACCTCAATGTGTGGGCTCTGCCACATACATGATACCCCAAGATATCCCACCTCAACCTCCATTTAATTCTTTGAACTCAGGAGACATCTAGGTCTGTTTTGAGGTTGCCTTTTATTTGTTTGTTTTTTTACCTTTTATTGTGATTTGGGTAATATTTTACAAAGCTGACTTGTTTTACATTCAACAGTTCATACACACATTATGTTTTGTGATACTGGATGTATCTATATGTATAATATCTCACCTCCTATTTCCTCCCTGTGGTTACCCTTTCCCTGTGTCCCTCTTGCCTATGCATTCCCACCTCCCTACCTTTCTTCCAGTGCAAATGCTGCCCTTCTGATCTCCCATGATTGATTGTTCCAAGGAGTGCATCTCCCTGGTATAGGTCTTCAGCTCAGAGGCCATTCTGTTTGGTTGAGAGTTAAACCACTGGAGTGAGTTCTGTTCCAGGCCTGAAGAGTGACTCGTGGCCATAGTCTCAGGGGTTTCACCAGTTTCTATCAGACCACTAAGCCTGGTCTTTTTCTTTTTTTATGATTTTGAGTTTTGTTCCACATTTTTCTCCTTTCTGTACAGGATCTCCAGTTTTGATCCCTTCCAAGTGGTTGGCATTGGTAGCCAGGTACCTAGATCTTCTGGTCTCACCTTCCACTTTCTCCCTGTCATATAGGTTGTAGTTCTTATGGTCCATTAATCATTTGGACTACCTGGTTCCATGTGTTTTCACTCTTCTTTGCTCCAGACAAAGAGAGACCGCTAGGTGCCAATTAGATAGCCATTTGCAAGCGTTTAAGACCCCAGTTGCTACTAACCAAGATAAGATGTAAACACTATTATTGCATACTGTGTTGTGCTATTTGAGCCAGCCTACAGGCCCAGTGACCCACTCCTTCAAGGTGCTTATTTGTAGCTAAGGAGTTATCCTACCTTTGCCTCCTGTTATGTTTAAACTGCATAAATATGTTTTTATAGCACATACAAATACATACATAGGAATATCGTCTGCCAAACCTGTGTATGGTTGTGAGTATATTTCCGTTTGCCTGTCCATACCTGTCTACCTATGTATCCATCCATAGATTAGTGTTTGCTGTTACTGATGATGCAGTATTGTATATGCAGTAGTATTTGCCTTTATTGTCTGTACCTCTTATACACCTCTCCTTTTTTTTTTCTCTTAGTAATGTTGTGCTAGTCACACACATTTGTTATATTGTTTTTCCCTTCACCCATATCAAACCTGCCTCTTAATTATCCATCTATTTTCCCTCCCTTTCCCACCCTTCCCATTTCTAGTAACCCACAAAGAAAATTTCCTTCCCTCTGTAAACCTTTCCTTTGACTGTTTACAATAATGGACTCATACAATATTTGTCCTTCGGTGATTGACTTATTTCACTCCGTATAATGTCATCCAAGCTCATTTACATTATGAGGTGATTCACTGATTCTTTATTATTCTTTAGTGTTGCATAGTATTTCATTGTGCGTATGTACCATAATTTGGTTATTTGAAGTTACTTTTCATTTGGAACCTTTTGGAGATTTTTAGTATCTGAACACTGACTCTTCCTAAGACAGTATGCCATTCTCAGCTTAAATGGTAGATAAGGTTGTGGACTTTTTTTTT